AGCATTCCACAGATGAGAGATCTGTAGCCAGTTGCTTTCATCTCTCGCCTTTCTGAAACCTTGCTGTGTTTGATCTCTAACATCTATGGTTTTTATTTTAGTTTTTACTCAGCAAGAAGAAAATGCACCTCTCTTCCATCTTCCATGAATCAAACTGCCCAACTATTGAACTTTTCTGCTGTGCTTGGAAGTGTTTTCTTTCTACATGAAAAATTTTCTTTCAAAGAACAAAAAAATATCAACTTATTCAAAATTTAAATTATGTTTAAAAATTTGGTTTATGATTAAAGTTTTATTTCAAATTTCACATATAATTCCATCTGTTTATAGATATTAAAAGCATAAGACCTCCACTGAATAAAGAGGAGTATTTGGAATATGAGTACTTTATTTCTAGATGTTCTAACAAAAGAAACATTTGTGACTTTTCAGATTGAAAATAATAGGACACCATAGGAGACTCTGGGTTGATTGTATTTTCTGAAGGTTTGTAGGTAAGTTATCTGGAAAAGACATGTAGTGCACTGGGCAATGTAACTGCAAAAGAGCTGTTTGCTACATAACTAAAAACTAGTTTACTAGTTTTAAGAAAAAAAAAGATTCAATTAATTTATGCTAATGAATATTAATTTATCTAGGTTTTTATGAATAAAAACTTTGAAAAAAATCTTAATTTTTATTTTAATATTTATTTGTTTTTATATTGTATGTATGTGTAAGTACTTTCATGTATGTGCATGCATCATATGCTTATCTTGTTCCTGCAGAGGCAAGAAGTTTGCACCTGATCTCCACAACACCCCTATGGGAGCTAAAGTTGAAGGTGAGTGTGAGCAACCATGCTGGTGAAGGTCCAAAAACATACTCTGCAATAACAACAAGTGATCTTAACCACTATGCCATGCTTAGAGTCATTCATCTTTTTAAAAAAATATATTTTCAATTTATTCTGAGACTTATGAACTACTTCAGTGATAAGCAGAATATATTCAGAATTACTAAATATTTACTGGATGGCCATTTAGTAAATTAGAAAAGAAAAAGAGAAAATGCAATTAAAGGAGAAAATCATGGGAATGTCTAAATACTTACATGGTATATTAACACATTTCTGTTTTTCATTAAAGAATACCAAAGTTCCACCAGTCACTGTTGTGTAACTGTTATTTTATGTAATTAGTGTGATGTATAGGACTATTTGCATCATGTCAGACTCATGAAATAAAGCAATGCTGATCAGCTCTTATTTTCTTTTCCTTACTAGATATTTTGAGTAAATAATCCTTTCTTATTTGATATTCAATGAAAAAAGAAAAGTATTTGCCATATTATACACCATAATATTTAAAATAGCATTAATAAATGAAAATCATGTTGAAAGTATATCTCCTTTCCCTGGTTAGCATGAGAGATAGTAGAATATAGGCTGGAGACTAAATAATAAGTTCAATACTCATTTACCTAAGTAAAATGTTCTTTTGCTTGAAAATACATATTTTGGGCAGCCAAAGTTGCAGGCCAGCAGGTGAGACTCCCGAAGGCAGGCCTGCCCACCACTACCCCGAACAGACTCTGTAATCTACAAGCTCCACTCAGTCCACCCAAACCCATACATCCCCTGAGACCAGAGCTGCTTCCAGAGACACAGACTTTGCCAGCTCTGATTGGACCAAGAGGTGAGTAACTGTTCTCCTAACCCATCACCCCAGCCTCTAGGCCTTAGGTCCACAGGCATAACCTGTACTCCCATACCCCAACCCATTGCAGCCCCAGTTACAGGCCAGCAGGCAAAACTCCTGCAGGCAGGCCTGACTATCACCACTACCCTTCAGACCCTGTAGTCAACAAGCCCCAGTCTATCTCCCAAACCCACCTATCCACTGAGACCACAGCTGCTCCCTGAGACACAGACTCCACCAGCTCCAACTGGACCAAGAGTGCCAATTGGACCAAGAGCATCTCCTTGAGACATAGACATCATTTGCACTGATTGGAGAAAGATGTGTAGATGCCAATGCAAGAATAGATTCAACAACATAAAGACTAATTAGACACCACCAGAAACTAGTGGTTTGATTACAGCAAGACCTAACATCCCAATACAGATGAAGCAGAAGAAAATGACCATAGAAATGACTTCATAAATATGTAGAGGCCTTTAAAGAGGAAATGAAAAATTCCCTTAAAGAAATCAAGGAAAATGCAAATGAAAAAAATGAAAGAAATCAATAAATTCCTTAAAGAAAGTCAAGAAAACCAGAGAAAGCAATTAAACAGGTGAAGGAATCACTTCAAGACTTGAAACTTGAAATAAAGGCAATAAAGAAGACATAAACCAAGGGAATGCTGGAAATGGAAAATTTGATTAAATGAATAGGAACTACAGAGTCAAGCATAACCAACAGAATGCAAGAAATGGAAGAGAGAATCTCTGGCATTGAAGATCTGATAGAGGAAATAATTTCATCAGTCAAAAAAGCGTTAAAGCTAAATAATGTCATGATAGAAAACATCCAAGAAATCTGGGATACCATGAAAAGAACAAACCTAAGAATAATAAGGAAAGAAGGAAAATAAAACAACCTAGATGCCCCTCAACTGATGAATAGATAAAGAAAATGTGACACATATACACAATAGAGTTGTATTCAACTGTGAAAAACAATTACATCATGAAATTTGCCGGCAAATGGATGGAACTTGAACCTATCATCCTGAGTAAGGTAACCCAGACTCAGACAAATATGGTATGTCTTCACTCATAAGTGAATACTAGATATAAAGCAAAGGATGCAGACTACAACCCACAGTTCCAGAGAAACTGAAAAACAAAGAGGACCCTAAGAGAGATGTGTGGATTGCCTCGGGAAGGGGAAAGAGATGAGAACTCCATAAGCAAACTGGAATGAGGTGGGAAATAGAGGGGAGGGGATGAGTGATGAGAACATGAAGGAATAGGATGGTCGAGCTGGGCCAGGGATGGTATGAGAGAGCAATGAAAGAGATATATTCATAGAAGGAGACTTTATGGGGTAAGGGAGAAACCTGGGGCTAGGGAAATTCCCAGGAATCCAAAAGGATGACCCCAGATTAGACTAATAGTAAGAGTGGAGAGGGTACCTGAACTGGCCTACCCTGATAACCAGATTGTTGAATACCCTGTTATCATAGAGCCTTCATCCAGTAGTTGATAGCAGTAGATGCAGGCATCCACAGTCAAGCACCAAGTCGAACTCTGGGAGTTTGTAGAAGAGAGGGAAAGAGGGATTATATGAGCAAAGAGGGTCAAAATCATAATGGGGAAATCTACAGAGACAAGTGAACCAAGCTCGTAGTAACTCATGAACTTCAGACCAACAGCTGCTGAACCTGCATGGGACCAGACTAGACCCTGTGCATGTGGGAGACAGTAGTGTAGCTTGATCAGGAGGGGCCCCTGGCAATAGAATCAGGATCTATCCTTTGTGTATAAGTTGGCTTTTTGGAGCCCAGTACCTATGGTCAGGTGCCTTGCTCACCCCTGATGCGGGGTGGAGGGGCTTGGTCCTGCCTCAACTGAATGTACCAGGCTTTGTTGACTCCCCATGGGAGGTCTTACCCATTTGGAGTAGGGAATGGGGGAGTGGGTCAGGTGGACGACTGGGAGGGAGAGGGGGGAGGGAGGAGAGGGGAATCTGTGGTTTGTATGTAAAATGAATAAAACATTTTTTAAATAAAAAAAGAAAATACATATTTTGATCTCCCTTTATCAAACACATTATTTGATAAGTAATGTGGTATACCACTGTTACCTACATAATATGTAAATATTTCTTAAAACATATATATCACATATTTAAAACTTATTATGTTTAAAAGATATGAATGAAATAATATTAGTAACAGGATAAAAGAATCAGAATGAATTTTTAAATAAAAATTTTGAAATTAATGAAAAAGTTTATCTTCAAATACTGTATGTTTTATGTTCATAGGAACATACAGAGCAATCAATAAAGACAATAATTACTAGATACTAGAGTAACATCTCAGTGGTTACAGCGCTTGCTGTACAAGCACGAGAGCCTCCGTTAAGATGCCAGTACCCACGTTAAAACTAGAATGAGGGACATGAAATTTCAGCTCTGAAAGTGTTTGCCACAGACAGGCAAATCCTCATGATTCACTGTCCTACCTGTTTAAATTAATCACTAGTTTGAGATTCAGTGAGAAACTTTGTCTCAACAAATAATGTGAGATTGGTAGAGGATTTGGGGAATAGAGATGGCTCATTGGTTAAGAGGGTGTTAGAGGATGAGATATGACATTTTCCTCTGGTCTTTTTTCGTTTCAATTTAACTTAGATTTATTTTTACTAATACAAAAAAAAACAGTAAATATTAATGGGTGCCGTGTTGTATTTCACTGTTAAATATACCTTTAAAATTTAAATCCAGTTACATATACCTATCTCTGGAAATATTATCATTTCTTTATTATTTAAAATATGTTATTTCTATTTCCTCAGTCTGTATAATTTTACTTGTTACTTGTTTATGTGTTTTCAGGGATGACTATTTGTTTTCAATAACCAGCTAGTCTGCTCTTCCCTGGGGAAGAATATTTCTCCGACTCTCAGTACTCATTAACTTCCCTTACTTATGTAGGACCGAGGCCTCATGAACTGTTCCCTGTCCAGCTTACATGTCTACTAGTGTCTTCTTGTTCCATTCATGCTCAGGACCCCAAGATGATGAGGTCTTCCGGATGTATCTTGTGGCATGCCTAAGAGACAAAAATCTCACAGTAAGCTCCATGACCTGCAGGCTCTCACAATCTTTCTATCCCTTCTTCCACAATGATTATGAACCTTAGGTGCAGGGGTTGTATTATATATGTATTAGTTGTGAGTCAGCTCTATAACCTACAATTTGATTGATTGCGGCCTCCAGAAATGGTCTCTATCTGTTGCATGGAGACGTTTCCTTGATAAAGAGTGGAAACTACACTTATCTGTGGGTATAAGTGGTAGGGGAGATACCATGATCATGAAGGTGTTTTTCCTCAGGGCAAGGCTTATCCATTGCACTCCGATTGTGCTGACCCCTGCGATTTTCCCAAATTTGGGAAACTCGACTGCATAATTTGTGGTAGTAGGGGACTGCATTTGTGCTCTCCCCTTTAAAAACAAAACAAAACAAAAAACAACAACAACAACAACAACAAAAAACCCTAAATACAGGTAAGACACTTAGCGATTGTACTGGTTTAATAAAGTGGCAGTTTGAGGTTCTCCTCCAAGACCTATGATTTTACTACTCCTGAATATATGGCTAAGTTTTCAGCACCAGATATGATTCCCCTCTTGTTGAGTGGGTCTCAAGTTATAAAGTTGTTGGTTCCAGCCAGGGATTTCTTCCCACTACTAATCCCTTAGTTTTATCCTACTATGCTGGTGGTTGTTGTGGTTCATAGGTGTCATATCTTGGTAGAATATCTTGATTGGTTGCTCCCCTCTTTTTGAAGCTTTCATAACACATTCTGGTGCCAGGCAAACAAATCCTCAGGGAAGAAGCTTCATCTCAATTCCAGCACAGGGTCCTCTGGGTCCTGTTCCTGAAGTGCATAGTGTCTTTGGGAACATTGACTTTCCTTCCACTTCTGGGAAGCAACTGAGGGCAACAGTAATAGTCTATAATGTTTTCAGAATCTCTTAGAGAATCTTGGCCAACAACTCAAAAGGCTGCTTCTCCTGCTTAGTAAGGGGTGGTTCAATGATCTGTGACTCTGAGAAGGACAGCTGTTAGTGAAGATTGGAAAGTTCCATTTAAACCATATATGTTTATTTATACACTGACTTTATATGTATTATAGGCATTTTGGTAGAAAGTTAAAAATACGGTTCCTTATAAAATTTCAAGACACATTTACATGGTTTTGCACTCATCACCCCTTCTGTATTTATTTCCCCTACCTTCCCTAATTAGAGACTCCCATATTTTTTTATTTCTCCCTTCAGGTCACTTGGACTCTATTATTTCTCTCTTTATCACTTACTCACTCCTCCACTTCCACATTCCCATAATGGTCCCTTTTTACTTTCCTGGCTATGGAGTTACTTATTCTAGGTTATATACTCACTATTGGAGAATTGGACCTAGGACACTCAGGTGAAAGAGAACTTGTAACATTTTCTTCCTGGGTTATCTTACTCACTAAAATCTTATCTATTCCATCCATTTCATTACAAATTTCATTTTTTTTCTTTACAGCGAGGTATTATGCATAGTGCATATTTATCAAATTCTTATTTTCTATTTGCCTGTTGAAGGTTTTTTTTAGGTTGTTTCCATTTGCAAGGTATTGTGAATTGAACAATGAGCATGCCTGAGCAAGCATTTGTTGAGTAAGCTGTGAAGTACTTGGGATATGCCAGGGAGTGTTATATATAGATGGGTAGTGTTAGATTTACTTTTTACCTTTTTGAGAATTCTCCACACTGATTTCCATAGGCTGGCCTATTTTTCAATCTCGTGGACTTTTTTTTTAGTTGGATGTCTTCTTCTTAATATTTCTGCCTCCCCATTTGTTATGAGTCTATTTAGATTATTGACCTCTTATTTTATTTTTGTTGTTTTTCCCCCCTTTGGCTGAATCAAGAAATGCATCCATTTATTTTGCTGAGGACAATTTTAAGACCCATGCCATATTGCCTGCCTGAGTTAAGTCTCTGCTGTCCAGTATTGAGCCACTAACCAGAAACTTTTGACATGCCTGGACAAGTCCTGAGTTATTAGAAAATAACATTTCCTTATCTTTCTGCTACAGTGACCATTAGTAACAATGTTTTGTGGTTAGGTTGCTTGGTTGTGTTGTTTGGCAACTCAGCAGTCCCCTGATCTTTTCCCAAAGAAAGTTTCCTGGTCTGCTTACTAGAAAACCCACCTGGGAAAAATAAATTTTGCAGCTTGATAAGAATACTGTCTTGCTGTCTATTCTTTGTGTCTCTTGGACCTTTCATTGCCATTCCCCCTTCTACGGTCTCTGCTGAAGATCCCACTGGCCAGGACATATTTAAGTTAGTCAACTTAATGGAGGACAGGTTTTTGAAGTATTTCCTTGTAATATGCTGAATTGCTTTGGTGTCTGTTGTAATGTTTTCTGTTCAGTTCTGATTCTATTGATTTGTATCTTCTCTCTCTCTCTCTCTCTCTCTCTCTTTCTCTCTCTCTCTCTCTCTTTCTTCCTTTCCTTCCCTCCTTCCTCCCTCCCCTCCTTCATTTATTTACTTATTTATTTGTTTATTTATTTATTTCCTTGTGTTTTTGCAGACAAATTTCTATATGGTCTTAATAAATAAAAAATACGGGTCCAGAAATTTGGGTTAAAGCCCCCCCAAAAAAAGATCAGAGGAAGAGGACAAATCATGAGCCAACCTCGCCTCACCAACTCTACAGCTTCCAAAGCGAGTGACTTCCTGTTTACCCAGGCTTATATGCCTCACGGTTCTGCCATCTGATTTGCTCTCTGTCTAGCTATATCACTTCCTCTTCCTGGCCAGCTCTGTCACTTCCTGTTGTGACAGGCCTCCTTCTAATTAACTTTAGTTGGGGGACTGTTGTTTTTAATCTATTTGTCAAATAGTGGCATAGCCACACCCACTTGCTTCCTGATCTCATTTGTTCTCAGGAGTTTTTCTATCCTTTTACACTAAGGAATTGCCTGTTTTAATGATAAGATGTGTTTCTTATTTTTTTTAAAGATAAATGAGTTGTGTTTCTTGATTCATTCAGCCAGCATTTGTCTTTTGAATTGATAATTGAGGCCATTGATGTTCAAAGTTATTTTTAAAATGTGTGTGTGTTAATTGTGATCATTGTGTTGTTTATTTTCTGTTGTTACCATTTGTATTATCAGTGGTGCTTTGTACTTAAGTAAAAAACAGCTTCATATCACTCTCTCATTCCTTGGCTGTGTTCATTCCCCTTTTTACCCAATAATATTGGTTCTTGCATTTTCTTTAGGTTTGGTTTATTGGTTAAAATATAATGTTTACATCATAGAAAACGTTCCTTTCTCCTCCAACTATGGGAGATAGATTTCCTGGGCATATTTGCTGAGTATATATAAAGGAAAGTCTTCATGGTATTTTACAACTTGAAATGTATTGATTCATGCTTTTCTGGCTTTCCAATGAGAAATCAGCAGTCATTCTGATATTTTTTTTTATAATTGTGTTGCATTTTTTAATATTTGAAACTTTCAATACATTTTATTTCTTGTGTATCATTCTTCTGATATCATGGAGAATATCAATGGGATTCTCTACTCATAAGATTCTGTAACAGATGGCAGCATTATTCTCTTTTTTTAGTTGAATAATATTCTATTTTATGCATATATGCACTTTCTGAATCCATTCACCATGGATGGGTGTTAAGGATAATCTGTATATTAGCTATTGTGAACAGAGGCAGCATAAATTTGAATACTTAGGTCTTCTTGGTATGCCGTTTCATTTCATTTGAGTATTTAACCAAAAGTAAGTAAAGTTTACCTTTTAAACTATTACATTCTATTTGGCAAAAGTAACTATGCCTGAGTTCACTTTCAGTTATGTGAGATTCCAGACATTTTGTGATCTCAGAATTCTCTTCCTTGTCTCTAAAACTGAGAGAATAGAAACAAAGCCCACATTCCATTTTGTGTCAACTCTGAAATTTTTTTTTATAACAAAACGACAGTCTGTCTGGTTGTCTGGTGTAATTGATGGGAAATATATGCAATACTTATTATCAACCCAGACGGGGGTATTAAACATGGAAATGACAATATTTAGGGGACTGTTTATAAGCAGATATGTTAAATCAAAAGTCTTTGAATCAGTAGTTTGTTTGACCTCACCTAAGAGTATTTATGGAACAAAAAGACCATGTTAATATGCAGAAAGCAACATGAGTAGCACTGATATTTTAGTTGAGTTCTGGATAATTATGATAAACTTTGTGAATTATAAAAGTTCTTTTGACAATGTTAATACTGTGAAACCCATATTGAATTTACAAAATGAATAATGTTGTACCTCCTAATGCCTCCCAATTTTGATAAGTACTACTATATATTTTTTAAAAATTGATTTGTGCATCAGAAATAATTTGTATTTCTTATTTCAATCTGACAGAACCTCTCTTCTGAGCTAACATAAAGAAAGAAATTAAGATCTAGGGCTTTACAAAGCTTTAGAGTGTAAAATGCTTCTAAGAAATTTCTTCAAAGGCACTGTTAAAAGTGTGTTGTAAATAACATAGCAAAGCACTATTTGGCTTATTTTATCAAAGTAAACCCTTCATAGACATGAATTAATTAAACACACATAACATAATTAGCTTAGTAGCTGAAACCAAAGTTCTCTTGTCCATTTGGAAGAATGAATAAAGTTCTTAAATCCAATAATTAAGATTTCTGACACATTTACTAATCAAGTTGTTATACTTATGAAAGCTCAAATTTTTACATTATTTCTAAGCCAAGGCCTGACAATAATGACATCTCATCAGCTTCAATGGTTATATAATTAATGTGAAATTTTAATTAATAATTTATAAAATATGCTTAACTTTGTTTCAATTAACGCAATTAAGAAGAAACTAGATAAAAAATCTGAAGTTACTGAGACATTTTAACCAATCCAATAAAAGTACATTAAGCTTCCTTTTGCTTAATTGATAAATCTGTGATTTTGAGAGTAAACAATAAGAACACTGACTAGTTTTAATTTTTTAAAGGGAAAACTCATGATATGCCAAATACAATACAAAATTTTTATCTTGTTGACTGATAGATCCCATGGTTTGCTATTCGTTCTTTCATTCTTTTTCTCTCCCTGTCTTTCTCTGTCTCTCGGGTTTTCTCTCTGTGTCTCTCTCTCATTCTCCATCTCTCTGTCTCTGTCTCTGTCTCTGTCTCTGTCTCTCTCTCTCTCTCTCTCTCTCTCTCTCTCACACACACACACACACACACACACACACAGTCTTGATGAGTTCCCTTTTCTAATTGTTTGACAGTAGATCTCAATATTTCAGTGTTTCCCCCCAACTACAGGCATTCTTTGCCTAACCTCCCTAGGACCTTCAAGTTAAATAAAACAGTATTGCCTCTGCCATCCAATCCGAAGTACCCCTC